ACTCAAACGGAGCACCTTTTCACCCAAGCACGGTTTAACCCAAAACAAGCAGCTTTTAAACTAAAATTTACATTTTAAAATGACAATACCAGGCAGTCCCAGGACTCTCTCTCCCAGCTCTCTAACTGCTTGTACTAGCAAGGAAGCAGACAAGCAGCCTCTTCGCTAACTGAAAGTTTGAATTTCCCCGCTTTCCCTGCCTTCCCCGCATATTAGGTATGCTAATATCTGTGCACTAGAGGATTGTGGGAGGAACATCCAGCCCCTGATGGGGGTCCTGTGGGGCACCCCAAAACACTGAAGAGCTCTCGTGGCCTCTTTCAGGACTGGGGCTGTGCAACCCTGTTCTGATCAGGAGGTGTAGCCGGAGGTCACCATGCCTTTGGGGGACAGGCCACAGAAAGGGGAGGTGGTTTAGGGGACATTCCAACTCATACTTGGCAGGGGAGATACCACTGTTATAAAAGTGGTTTTCCTGGGGTAAGGCTCATCTATTGCATTCTGGATGTGCTGACCCCTGTGATTTTCCCAAATGTGGGGAAATCAACTGCCTAAGTGGGGGACTATGTCTGTGGTTTCCCCTGTTCTTTCTAGAATTACTCTTTCCTTTGGTCCTTGGCTATTTTCACTGCCTGCTACCATAGGCCTGTTAGCCTTGCTGGTTTTCCAGGTGGGCTGCAGGAAACAGATCCTGGAAAGCCAGCAGTGCAGAATGGTGGGGTCTAAACAGCAAGCAGTCTCTGGTGCTAGTTCAGAGGCCTCCCAGCATGGCAGTAGGGGGTTTCTGGGTGGTGGTGGTTGAACCCCTTTTTTCTGTATTCGTTCCATAAGATGCACATACTTTCTTCCCCACTATTTGGGGGGGGGAGTGTGTCATATGGAGCAAAAAATACGGTACATACCATTGAGATCACTAGGGCTTATTCCCAGAAAGGTAGGAAGATAGAGGACTGAGCTTGTACAAGCTCCTTTTTTAGCCTAGCCATGCTGGTTGGAGGATTCCAGAAACATAGTCCAAAAAATTTAGGTTTTTCTAAGCTCTGGTGTAGGATTACTTTCATATTCTGTCAGGCTGCTGAGTTTTCTTGAAGGATGCTTGCTGCTAGATCATGGATATAGAACCTGTGGCCTGCCAGGTGGACTTATATACCAATGACTACCAGCTCTAGGTAGCACAAACAATCATGAGAGAAAATCGGAATTGTAGTCCATCGACATCTGGAGATTACATGCTCTTTAGCTTTGTCTTAGGATGTGAATTTGTAGAAGTTTCCCTCAATTAAAAGAAACTGGTTAGTTACTACCAGGGACGTGGTGGCGCTGCAGGTTAAACTGCAGAAGCCTCTGTGCTGCAAGATCAGAAGACCAGCCGCCATAAGATCAAATCCATGCGACGGAGTGAACTTCCATCACTTGTCCCAGCTCATGCCAACCCAGCAGTTTGAAAGCATGCAAATGCAAGTAGATATATAGGCACCACCTCGGTGAGAAGGTAATGGCATTCCGTGTCTAGTCACGCTGACCACGGAAACTGTCTTTGGACAAACACTGTCTCTATGGCTTGGAGACGGGGATGAGCACCATGCCCTAGAGTCAGACATGAATGTCAAGGAGAATCTTTACCTTTACCTTAGTTGGTTACTGGGTTATCCTAATTCTGCTTTTCTTTAAATGTGCGTTCTATTGCCTTTCACAGTGGTTTCAGATGGATTGTTTCAAAGTTATTTTAATTATTCCCTTTATTCATGCCACTTTCAAATTTTGCTTTTTTCCTCTTGATTTCATCCAGATCTTCCTCTTACAGCTAAAACCTGGGTTCAGTCCTTCCCTGGTCTTGCTTCAAGTACTGCAGTTCACTGCCTTCAGGCCTCCTTCTCCTCTTCCAAACCTTTTCTTTAAAACAGCTTAAACACATTACTTATTTGCAGATGGATACCAGTCTCTTCATTCTAAAAGGCAGTGTCTCAACAAAATGGAGGATTTGGAGCCCTTGAAAAATCCTGATTTTACTTTTGGTGGAAATGTTCCTTTATCTGTCACCTTCAAAGACACAAACCAAAGGTAAAAGAAATGTGTCTACTTTTACTACTGAGAGTGGGCAACTATGATCTTCAACATGTTTTTCTCTACAACTGCCAGCTGTTCTGCCCATTGTGAAGGGTTATGGGAGCTGCTCTCTGAAAGTGAAGTGATACAGTGACTCACCCATGCTGTTGTCAGTGTCCCATGCATGTTGAGTAACACTTGGTTGCAGTGTGGAGAGAACCTTCATGTTGGGGAAAGCCTATCTATGGAATCTGGAACTTCCTGTGAGGGAAAGCTGATTTTACCTCCCTCTTGGTGGCCTACAGTTGCTTAGAGAAACATTTAACAGATCTACCTGTTAATTTTGGCCTCTTTAATTCATGAATGGAAATAGACCTACCAGAGTAGACCTTTGGTCTAGATGGGCGGGATAGAAATCTAATAAATGAATAAATAATAAATTCTTCTGTCTCTTCTCTTTTAATATTGGTGCTTTTCTTTATTTAGATAGTAGTTTGTTGCTAGTTTTCACACAGCTAGACTTGTAAACTGTTTTAACAATTTTTAAAATAGAAACTGGGGGGATGGTTTAGGTAAATGTGCATTCTTTAGTGTTTTACAATAAATATGTCAAGTTTTTAGCAACAAATGTCCTCCATTGTAGATTTGTAGTGGTTGGACTCAAATAATAAATATGTTCAGATAATTCAACTATTGCTCAAAGCCAATTTGTTTGTTTAGCTTAGAGAAGAGAGATAAATGGCATCTATTTACAGGTATTTCAATTTTATTAAGGGCCCCAAAGTCAGCTAAGAAAGTAGCAGTGCTGCCACCTAAGAAACCCGTGATTGTGCGAAGGTGAGTGCCTGCAAGTAACAGTTCTTACATGTGTTATCTTATTGTTTCTGTTCTCTTAGTGAAATTCCTTACAAGAATCAATTTCATTTAAATCAATTTATTAAATAACTGTCTTAGTCTAAAAAGACCAATTTCTTGTGCAAGTATTTAATATTTATTATATATATGAATACATATGGAATGACTGTTAACCACTTTATAATGTAAACGTATAAATGCATGTGAATGGTGCCACTGATTCTACTTAGGCTGTATTCTGCTAAGAATACATAGTGTATACTATGATTCTTAAAGTACTAAGAAAATGGGGCTAATCTCTTGGAAGTGGGGTCAGGTGGACTGCACTGCTTTCCAAAAGCTATTAGGGGTTGGACCCTATGCTACCATGTTGTTGGATTTGCCATGATCCTGTTTCCCATACCAATGAAGTTCTTGGTCTTAGTGCTATGTGTAGACAGAATTGACCATCCACATTGCTTCATTTATATGTTTGATCTTGCAGCCCCATGAACAGATACAAAAGGGAGATGGAGCTCCGGAATAATAACAAGCTGTTGGAGACAGTTAAATGTGAACTGAACCTAAAATTGGCAAGAATCCAGGTATGCAGAGAAAATGGCTTTGTTTACTCTAAGGCAGGGTGAGCAAGCTTGTGTACCCAGCCCCCTCTATGGATTGCATACAGGCTGGAAATGGCAGTTATCGACCAATTTGTTACAAAAAAAGATAAACAGGAAGTGCTTGGGTGGGCACTTCTGCTTCTTTTTTTAAATTTGGGGGGATGGGGACACCTTAGGAGACTGCCCTAAGGCCTCAATGTAAAAACTGCTAGTCCTGAAAGCATTCAGAAGCAAAAATTAACCAGTTCTCATAAAGTAATAATAGTTATGACTAATTTAATTTTTCTTTTGGAAAGGCTCCTGGGGATTACAAAATCGCACTTAGAAGGCAGTGTTTGGCCCACAGGCCACTCTATACCTATCTCTGTTCAACAATTGTGTCAAATTGCTTGTGTGTGGGTTGTATTTCTGCAGTGCCTTCCACCCTATGGAGCTGTCCAAAAGGACAGATGGAATGAGGATGGAAGGCATAAAGCCTGGGAACAACTTTGATGAATGGGCATGGTTGAACTGATTAGAGATTAATAAATAAAAACATCATCAGGGGCCTGGACTGGAGGGGTTGTAAGTGATTTGTATTCTTAAATCACTCTTAAGCTATGCATATGTAGCTCATTTTACTCCCTGCTCTCCATATGAATCTGTTTTTCTTCTGTAAACCCTTTTTGGAGGGCTTTGCCTCGCAAGGGAACATAAAGTGTCAATCAAGCAAATATGAGAAATTCATTTCCAGAGATCATATCCCATATTTCAGCATGTCATTTCAGAAGAGACTTATAATCATGATGAAGTTAAGCAGAATGAAAGTTTTATTTTCTACTTATGCAGCAGTAGTTTTCAATTCAAACATTTTCTGTTATAGTGACTTATAAAACCTCATGCACCTTAGGTCCAGGTGAACTCCCCATATGAACTTCCTGAATTTTAAGGTCTTTGGAGGAGGCTTGTTTCTCAGTACTATCACCCTGATAGGATCGTCTGATGAGGAATCGGGAGAAGAGCTTTTCAGTGCCTGCCTCCAGACTGTGGAACTCAGCTTCCTCAAGAGACTAGCTAGGTCAGCTCCCTCCCTGCTGTTCTTCCAGCAGAAAAATACCGTACTTTTCAGATAGGTTTTTGGCCACTGATGAAGCTGTAGGAAAGCATGTGTATCTTTTTTCCTTTTAAAATTGTTTTGAATTTAATGATTTCTTAATACTGTGTTTAATTGCATTTGTAATATTTTAATTTATATCCCTGTTGTTGTTCTGTCCCTTGTCATTTTGTTAGCTGTTCTGGGTCTCTCAACTGGAAAAAAGGGATCATGCAAATTGGATGGGTGGGTGGATGGATGGATGGATGTTCGTTCGTTCATCAGGCCTATAACCTCATGACCGTTACTGCTGCTGTACTTTTGCCTAGGTGCCCACTGTTATGCTGAGCTGAAGTTACAAGTTAATTCCTTGAAAGTCTTATGTGCAAATTATTTAAATGGGCAGGTAACAGGCTTGACCATGTTTCCTTATGGCAAAAGCAGAATGGGGTTGCTTTCATTACTTGAAAAATGTTTCACAGATATTACAGAATGGTTTGGTGATGCTAGCAGAGCTTTGTGAACTGATTTTGCATTTTCTCCCAAGATGGTCTCCAAGGGAAGGAAAGCCATGTGTTACTTCTTATTTTGTCTGTCACCAGGTGACCCTCCTCAGGAAATGGCACTCACAGTGGTGCTGCTTTTTACCTGGTTTCTTACCTGGTAGGTGCCCTTTGCACATTACATGTGACACCTGACATGCATTTTGAAAAGACTGGGTCCCTTTTCAAAATGCAGTGACAGTGGCAGTGACACAGTTTCATGTTGATCTTGGAAGCCACACTCATTATGAGAGAAACACCCTATAGGTTGCCATTTACCCACAGCTATACTGGACCCCTTTCATTTATATGTAGGAATAAAATTTGAAATAGTTACTTTCTGGAACTGCAGCTCCTGGAATACCCTTGCCAGCATGACCATTGGTGTTCTTGGATTACATTAGACCTAATCAATAATGAGGGGATGTGAGGGGCTTTTATTCAGCAACATCTGGAGAGCCAGTTTCCTACTCCAATTGTGGTCCTCCTGAGAATCACATTGTGATGCTGAGATTTTAAGGTTTGGGAGCAGATGCAGATGCCTTTTGATACAGGGCCAAGCCAGACCTGATGTTAGGCACATAATTGGGTCATTTTAATTACTTAGGGACAGCTGTCATGTGGAGGCAAGATGCTTTAGCCTAGGCTGTGTCCCCAGTCTAGATTTCTCCCCTCTTCAAATATGACTACTCTTTGCATCTGTGCTTTGGAGCAAATAGCAGCAAGAAGTGAGGTTCTGGAATAGAGCTGGTGTGATCTGTCAGTCACCCTCAGTATAATATAGTTCTAATCCAGATTTCATTTCTTTTCACTCAGCTGCTTTCTGGCAAGCAACAACCAAGCATGCAAATGTCACAGTTACTTTGTGCCTGTGTATCAAGCACCTTATTTCTATACCTAATTACTAGGCTGTAAGAGTCCAGGAAGATTATCAGGCAAATTCTAAAGAAACAAAGACAAAAACCTGTGCCACCTTAAAGATTAACCATTATATCTTGTAAGCTTTCGTGGACACGTCCACGAAAGCTTACAATATATACATCAGACATTAAGAAACAGAATGTAATGAAATGTAATATATATGAAGTATCAATTTCACATTCTTACTATTCATTGATTACATGCAGTAATTAGATCTTTGTTGGTTTTACAGTCCTGTTGTAAAAATACTTCAGGAGGACAGAAAACAGACACCAGAGCAGAGAGGAGAGGGGGGGGGGGGGAGAGAAGAGGGGCTTGGGGGGGTTAAAGATGTATCTTAATGTCTGACAAAGTGGACGTATAAATATGCTTGCACAGACTACCTGTTCCAAAACCACAGGAAGATTATGTGTATCTACACATTGATCCATAGTGAATTTAGTTAAGCTGCTTCTCTCTCTTTTTAAAATAAATTTATTGAACAAACATCCAACCTAAACAACATAAACCTAACACCACAATAAAATACAATTTCATAATACACCACTGCCACCATCACCCTCAGGGTAATTAAATATTTTTAAATATTTAATAATATTTTAAAATTTCAGTCAGTCCATTTTCTCTTCAAAACTTCATTGTTTCTTCCCTCAGTGTATACCCCTTCCCTCTCCGAAATACATATTCCAAGAATTCACTCCATATTTTCTTAAAATCATTACAGTGGACACTC